TTCTGAGAAAATTTTGGGGAATTTCTCTATTGCTTCCTCTACACTTCCACTCGAAGTCGTATATAAATTTCCGAGCTCAGGTGCTGAGGAAAGCGATTACATATATTCCTACTCCAACACTGTATAGGAAACTCCTGAGCTCAGGTGAGGAAAGCAAACATATATTCCTACTCCAACACTGTATAGGAAACTCCTGAGCTCAGGTGAGGAAAGCGATTACATATATTCCTACTCCAACACTGTATAGGAAACTCCTGAGCTCAGGTGCTGAGGAAAGCGATTACATATATTCCTACTCCAACACTGTATAGGAAACTCCTGAGCTCAGGTGAGGAAAGCGATTACATATATTCCTACTCCAACACTGTATAGGAAACTCCTGAGCTCAGGTGAGGAAAGCGAACATATACTCCTACTCCAACACTGTATAGGAAACTCCTGAGCTCAGGTGCTGAGGAAAGCGATTACATATATTTTTACTCCAACACTGTATAGGAAACTCCTGAGCTCAGGTGCTGAGGAAAGCGATTACATATATTCCTACTCCAACACTGTATAGGAAACTCCTGAGCTCAGGTGCTGAGGAAAGCGATTACATATATTCCTACTCCAACACTGTATAGGAAACTCCTGAGCTCAGGTGCTGAGGAAAGCGATTACATATATTCCTACTCCAACACTGTATAGGAAACTCCTGAGCTCAGGTGCTGAGGAAAGCGATTACATATATTCCTACTCCAACACTGTATAGGAAACTCCTGAGCTCAGGTGCTGAGGAAAGCGATTACATATATTCCTACTCCAACACTGTATAGGAAACTCCTGAGCTCAGGTGAGGAAAGCAAACATATATTCCTACTCCAACACTGTATAGGAAACTCCTGAGCTCAGGTGAGGAAAGCGATTACATATATTCCTACTCCAACACTGTATAGGAAACTCCTGAGCTCAGGTGCTGAGGAAAGCGATTACATATATTCCTACTCCAACACTGTATAGGAAACTCCTGAGCTCAGGTGAGGAAAGCGATTACATATATTCCTACTCCAACACTGTATAGGAAACTCCTGAGCTCAGGTGAGGAAAGCGAACATATACTCCTACTCCAACACTGTATAGGAAACTCCTGAGCTCAGGTGCTGAGGAAAGCGATTACATATATTTTTACTCCAACACTGTATAGGAAACTCCTGAGCTCAGGTGCTGAGGAAAGCGATTACATATATTCCTACTCCAACACTGTATAGGAAACTCCTGAGCTCAGGTGCTGAGGAAAGCGATTACATATATTCCTACTCCAACACTGTATAGGAAACTCCTGAGCTCAGGTGAGGAAAGCAAACATATATTCCTACTCCAACACTGTATAGGAAACTCCTGAGCTCAGGTGCTGAGGAAAGCGATTACATATATTCCTACTCCAACACTGTATAGGAAACTCCTGAGCTCAGGTGAGGAAAGCAAACATATATTCCTACTCCAACACTGTATAGGAAACTCCTGAGCTCAGGTGCTGAGGAAAGCGATCACATGATATAGCAAGTGACCGAGATATCCCTTTCCCCATAATCACCAGTTGGCAACAGCAGCAGCATACTCTGGTGCAGCGGTAGCCAAGGCCAAAGCGTACTGCATAGTATCAGCCTCCTCCTCCTGAGACCACTCGATCAACTACAACTAAACCAGTAACACACCTACCTTCACTTCGCTGGTCACTTCTCCTACTACTGCTTCCCCCAACCGGTGTGGGTCTATCGAGGACCCTGCCACTACCTCACATACGCCCATTACTACCCTGAGCCCTTCGGTGTTGGTTCATAGCGTCCACCGTCAATAGAAGGTGCCACTGCCGTTTTAGCATTTTTTTCATCTCCTCCACTTCCTCCGTGCTGAACCCCATACCGCAGTGTTTAGTAAATCCGACCATACCCTACCTCTGATCCTGAGCCGACCCCAGAGTAGAACTGTTCGCTCGTCCCAAGGGCTCTGAGGAGATTCATTACACTACTAGCGCCCACACAAGTAGTCCGACCATCAACAGTTTCCATCAACGTCGCGACTTCATTCCTACACAAGGACCATCTCACCAAAACTTCTGAGATTTCCGATTACCCTTCCTCCTGCAGCTTCGTTCCTCTTCTCTTCAAAGTGTCCCATGCTTCCTAAGCACAATATTTAACTTTTGCGAACGATAAATCGAATCATGGTTTTCCGACAGCGCCCTAGATCTAGCAATGATCGAGCCTCGTCGGACTCACCATAGACGACATTGACGTGGCTTGTCCAGGAATCCATAATGTTCCCGAGAGGAACTCATACTATGCACAACAGTGGAATGAAATATATATTTCACGACTACTGCATATCACCGCGAATATCGCGTTTTTCACACAGTATTACGACGCCACTTCACGTAAAACGGGTGGTGAAACTCCAATATATAAACCAGTAGATTTCTCCAGTAACAAATCTTATACACTGTATCAGTGTAAATGATATCATCATCGTAATTTATGTATTGGTGTCACTACAGTGCGAACCGAAGAGTTATGCGTATGTTTAGATTTTCGAGATGGTTTTATTCCATTTGATGGTATGGTTATGGACTACGTAACGCTTCTAAAACGGTGGTGTCAATCGATTCACATTGTTATCATGTTGATATTACTCAAAGTTGACTTTCGACAAACTCCCTAAAATTGAAGGCTAAGTTGAAAATACTACTACTTTGCATAACGATTTGGTTCCATATTTTTCCTATCAAATTTCAAGCTTTTCACCATCCTATACGTTTACAAAAATATCATTCACTCAGTTTCCCATGTAACTATCAAGGCCCTGGGGAACTTCACTACTAGATGGATAACCGCCCCCCCCCTAACACAGTACCCTCTCCAGACGTTCAACTTCCCTTCTGCCCTTCAACGACGCCAATGCCTTAGCACAGTTCTCTGCGATGTTCTCAGCGGTGATATCATCATCATTCTTCTGCGCTTGTTCGTCAACCCCTCCGGTCGGCCTGAGTCGATACCTCCAGTGACCACGATTTGGAATTGGAGTGGTACGCGATATTCTTCACTGGGGTTCCTGCTTCAGCAACTCCATCTTTGTCCACCTACCTCTACATTACCCACAGCATCGCTAACACGACAACTTACCCCTTCCACCTGTACTCCTCTAGCGCCTACTAGTGACATCAATAGGAGTATCCTACACATTCTCATTGAAACTGTTCATGATGACACAATTCCCCTTCTTTTCGCTGGAAACGATTCACTTTTCCAACCTCGTGGGCTATTGGGAAAATCGACCGAGACGATACTCATCCTCATAGAGCTATCGATAATATGACGGCTTGATCAAAAACAGCTACGACTATGTATCGTCTATAAAAAAACTCAAGAAATGAGGAAGATCGGCCTCAAGGCTTCTCTCCATCTCTCATGCGCTTACTGATGTCCTCAACAACGACTGGTAGATCCTTGATACTGTCGATGACGTAATGCGCACCTAGAGTTAACTGTGAAAGCTTCCCGTAGAGACGCTCTCACCTGAAGTGTTCAGCTTGTCTCTAGACATCTGAACACGTTCCTCTCTCTCTTCCTTGGACATACCCTCCCATTGCTCCAGCGTGTCAATATCTGTATAGTTGCTGAGGCCAGCGATACCTATTAGAGAGTACTAGAGGCAGTCAGCAAATGATAATAACGAAGGCTTACCAACGCTCCAACAACCTGCTGACAGACCTTCTCCCACTCCGCTTACGGTGTCATCAACTTTCACCACCTGAACATGCTAGGGTACGCAATACACGTTATAGCAGTACTCACCGATTCGATTGGGAAGACTCCTAAATTGCAGAGATTTTGGTAAAGCATGAATGGCGCCGGTCGGAAACCCATGTTGTTAGGTACCTGAGATGACCACTGCATACGTATGCCGACCAAACGACTCACTTCGTCTCCAGCCACACTAGAGTCGGGAGCATACCCCTGCTCCTTAGCCTTCTCAAGAAGGATATCAACCATAACTTTAGTGAAACCCGTGGTAGAGCCTATCTTCAGATTATATCTGAGCACCCCACTTGAAGTGAACTACTCTGGGAGGAAGCCTACTTAGATTTCAATAGGTTCACCGTATCAGCAGCGCCGTCAATAAGGGTAGTATACTTTGGAAGAACCTTGAGACGATATAAAGGTAATAGTGAGAAGCTGGATGCTACCTCGCATTGCAAAGGGACGAATTCCTTGAACATAGCTTCAACGTCAGCGGCAGTCGATGGTCGCCCTTTGACCTTCTGCCAGCGTTCCTGGACTGAGGGGATTTCCAGGATTTTCGCGATATGAAGATCCTTGCGGAGACCTGATGATCGGACTTATGATCCTTTGTTGGACCTCATCCGTATCTACCCATGGGCAACCTGGATTCCTTCATGGTGATGTCGACGCCAAATTTGCGGAAAACCTCGACGAAAACAACAGCAGGGGCCAACACGTGAGCATCAGCAGTCGTGCCAGACCAGTCCAGTATACACGCCTTCAGAGGTCCTTACGAGAGAAATAACATGTCGAGCTACTCTCATTGTCACCTCTATAGGGCTCCCTATTGGGTACATGCTTCGTGATACCAGGACCAAGGCTGATCGTCGCGAACGTCCTCGAGGAAAACTCCTGAGCAAACGGCGATCTTCTTAGGCGACGGACGAGGGCTGCCGAGGTGCTGCTCAACATGGTGCTGGAGAGAACAGAGACTGCTCAGTCAATATCATTTCCTGTCCAACACGAAGATAGAGATAAACGTCAATGGCATTCATGACTTGATGAGATAATTACAGAAATCGTTGACGTTGATTTTGGTTCCGTTCTCATCCACGGCCGCCTCGAGCAAATCGGTAATCTCCTCCTGAGCAGAGCAGATATCCCATGAAATGAAAGATGGGCTACCTCAGAGAAGGACGGCTGACCGGAGGACTCCTTGGATCGTCGTAGCAGATAGTCGAGGCATTCAGTTTGAATGCGGCCTTCTGAGTCTGTCAAGGGATCGAATAGATCTGAATGGGAGGTCAGTTTGACAAACGCATGCACTTCAGAGAAAGACCTCTCAAAACGGAAGGGTCGGGGTTCCTTTCCCGGCAGACAGCAACAGCCGAGGAGAAGTTGATGATGTTGGGGTGAGCTCCGAACTCGACCAACACTTCCTCAGTGAACTCTCGATCCCTGTGAAAGGACCACTAGCCATAGTGATACGGGTGAAGCGTTCGCGCATAGGATATTGGGGATTGAGATATCCCACACGTCTAAGGAGGGACTGAGCCACAGCTAACATGGAGCCACTACGATGAATTTGATCATCAGGTTGCACGCATGCACAAGGGGAGGACGAAACGACGGCGGTGCTGAGATAGCGTTACAATAAACGTTACGTCAATTGGACCCCGCAGACCCTGAGGGCCTCCTTGAACTCATCGGATGTGAGTCTACCGTCGGCATCTACACTAGACAGTGAGGGAAACGTCGATATCATCTTGCACGCATGCTCACCGGCATCGAAAAGATAGAACACTGATCTCTCATCCAGCTTGGTATCAGGTGATACCTCCGAGGAACCACCGGACCGAGGTTCATCCATGAGATTAATAAACACTGTGAATATTATGAAAGATCGATGGAGCGACTCAACAGTTGAACAAGAGAAGATTAACTGTAAATATCGAAAAATCGATTGGATTTCTGACTCGGCCGTTTGGCTCTTCCGACCATCTCCTCCGCACTTTTCCACCCTAAGCCTACGTTTCAGTGGATGGGATCGTCTGACCTGATTGGAGAGTGCCGATCTATATCCCCTCGATTCCTTCCAACTGCAACTTGTTCGAAGCGAGGACGGATGGTCTGTTCTTAATTCCAGATTAGAATCGGTCACAGAAACGTGAGGATCGTGCGCGACGATGAACCTGCGTACACATACGTCTGCAAGTCTGCTGGCTCTTAGGGGCGCATCGTGCGCATCGGGCAATTCCCTGAGGGTATCTGTTGTCACGGCTGTTTCCCTCTTCACAGAGTGGTGGCTCGGTAGGCCTGCTACTCACATGGACGCAAGGAAAACGTACAATAACTACTGTCACGAGTATACTGGCACGAGAAAGACCAATTCCGCTCAAGGACAGATGTGCCATTCCAGCATGAGGGTCCTGAAAGAGTACATCCCCCTTTGGACAATATTGGCATAAGCTACAGCGAAATTGCTTTTCCGAGTGTCGTCGAAATTGGAGTTACTTTGAGTTTGCCTACAGAGTTGATCTTCTTGCATTGTATACTCGCGGAATTGATTGGACAAATGGTCTCACTGAAAGCGGAATTGATCATACAGAGGTACACCTTTGGATGGCATAGCGGCCCCAAGAGGATAAAATGGCCCCACTGAAAGCGGAATTGATCATACAGAAGTACACATTTGGATGGCATAGCGGCCCCATGAGGAGAAAATGGACCCCCTGAGAACGGAATTAATCGTACAGAAGTACACCTTTGAATGGCATAGCGGCCCCAGGATGAGGAAATGGACCCCCTGAGAGCGGAGTTGATCATACAGAAGTACACCTTTGAGTGGCATAGCGGCCCCGAGCGGAAAAAAGTCGCCACGAGGGCAGAATTGAACATAATCGGGGGACGGGGTATATCTACAGTTGGCCCACCCGTATCACCGAGTGGCATAGCTGCCCCGCCTAGAGAAATTGCGGTTCTCGAAACCAGTTTTTGTTATTGCTATTCGCAGACGCATGTCGGCTCCTTCGGGATATCTACATATGCACGTGACAGCCACTTTCCGTAGCACGAGCGAAGGCGACGGCGAAATGTCGCATCTTTGCGCGAAAGAAGTAGTTCCTTCGAGAGGGAGACGGTGTCGGATGGCCCCGTGTTGTTGTCCGAGTCGTGTCTCGATGCTCTTGGGCTGCTCCGGATGTGTGTGCCTCCTCCCAAGCTGTTGTATTCCACTGATAAGAATATGCTCAGTTCTTTTGCGTGGATTTGTCGCACGCTCTGAGAATGGCACTTCTACTCACCTTCATCGTACTCACGTCTGCTGTCTCACTAGTGACCGCGGGTAAGGATAAGTTCCGCGAGCTGCAACTGCTCTATGCTGCTACGGAAGAGAGAGTTCACTATATTTTCATTCCCGATCCACGCACCTGGCCACGTGGAGTCTTGTCCCATCTTAGAGAAAAAAACCTAATTCGCTCAGAATATATTGTGGATGGTGTTCGCGTTGTTCACGCGAACTCGTACATAGTTAAGGCTGACGGCAACGCTCTTTCAGCTGTGGACGCTACTATATTGAGGGTCGACGAGCAAGGCCTCACGGAAGAGTTCTCTGCCGCAGTGGCGCAAGATGGACGTCAATGCTTCTCAAGTGTTCACACCATAAACCCAAGAGTGACACTATTCCCAGGGAAGTCTCATTCATCACTTCTTGAGTTGGGAAAAGGAGACGCTAGACAAGAGGTCCGCTCTGATCTCTGGATGCTCTGCGAAAATGGACTCCTCGCTATCCGACCTCAGCATGGTGATCAAGAACGACTGGCCGGTTCTTATAGTGGAGCTTACCGAGACAGATTCACTATGACGTTGGAGTTATTTAAGGACAGCCCCCCTAAGGTTTCTCTACAAGAATGCGAACCTGGGACTTTGGGAAAGCTTGTGAAAGTTGTTTATCACAACGTCTGCAACTTCCTCATCGTTCATCCGATCTTCCAGAAAAACGAGCAATCGTACTTCTTCCGCATCGTACTCACTCCAGGAATCACTGATCTCCTCACTGATATTACGTGCAAAAAGAGCAAACGGTCCTATGATTTAGTGCGACCTCAGCGAGAGAGATCTACGCCTCGTGCCCCACCCTCTTGTGCCTTCTGCTTGGAGAACGACAAATCCTTCTCCAGCTCTAATATCTTTACATGGGATCAGATTCTCCGAGTGGGCTTCACTGTGCGTCATCGCGGAATACCTCGCAGATCTGGGCTCACTGACGCGACGTTTATGGCATGAACATGCTATTTCATACCAGTCTAATCAGCCTGTTGTCTCCATGTCACTCGATGATGTCTGTTAATGTTAGTGGCACCAACTTGATATATATGATAACGGTTTATTGCGTTGTATCGCGTTAGATCAGGATTTATTGCGTTAGATAGGAGCACTTCTACGAAAGCATCACATGAACCCAACCTCACTTCGTTGAGTTGGTCGGCATCTCCGTGTATTAAAACGGAGACACTTCGTGGTCTGAATTCCTTCTATTCAAATGTGGATCACCTCTCGAGATTGGATCAACCCTGGAAGACCTCGAAATTATCTTGGGGTAGTGGTACACGACACCTTGGCAAGATATCATATCTTGCCAAGGTATCTTAGATATGCCTCAATACGATCCATTCCGCGGTAGTAGGTGATAGGAGGATCACTGTCGTCTGTTCGACTAAACTAACTTTCTACGAGTCGTGTGAATGAATTCGGCTGTAAGTAAGGCCGTCTCTGCCGCAGATGGTCTCACGGTGAGACTCTCGCCAACGGCGAAATTAAAGATCCCCATCTCCGGAAACTCTCCGGTGAAGAAAGATCCATAATATCCAATATAATACGTCACGCAGCCTCACAATAGCATATCTGTTCTCGAACGGCATTGGCCAATGACGTTCGAGAAGGTAGTGCCAATTCGGTCATTACCACCCGAGGGATTGAACCAGGACATATCTTGGGGTGGCATAGCTGCCCCGTCTACAAAAATCGTCATTTATGGATGGCATAGCTGCCCCATCTAAAGAAATCATGATTTTCGGATGGCATAGCGGCCCCATCTGAAGATATCGTCATTTGTGAATGGCATAGTTGCCCCACCTGCTCCCGGAGCAGTGCTCCGTTGTGACGTCCTTTGTTCCAAAATGAGCTTTCAAAATCGATCACAATGGCGTAGCGCGATTGCCACGCACTTGCAAAGTTGTTATGAACGCCGGCGAAAAACGGCGGAGCGAAGCACTTCGGTGGATGTATATACTTTCCTCCGCTGCCTATCCACTGTATGATTACATGACACTTGATCGATTCATTCTCATAAGGCGTTTAACTTCAATAGGGGGGTTATTACGTAACGATTTTCCGCCTCTCCTCAACTGTGAAGTTCGAATGATAAGCGTTGTGGGCGTCGCTTTTCATAGTCGGATGAACGCTATAGTTCCTATTACTGCGAGGTGTAGCCCCTACCATCGCTAAGATCGGTATATAACTTGTGTTATCGCCATCACCAGAAGTAAGTGGCAGGGGAGGTCTGTGACTGCAGCGAGTGGGAGGTGTTCCTCTGGCGAGTAATAGTTGGCATTCTGCAGCACACAAAAAGTTGTCTTCATTGGAGTGGAGGTCGACCTCGACCCCGAGTCGAACAGGCGTGTACCCCCTCGTGAATTCGTAATCGGTTTCACCCGTCTGCTTCTATTGTATCGGTCCACGAGTTGTTGGTCGCATGCCCGGCTGTTATCAAGCTTAGTCTGTATGCCCTCAGGCGAGGTTGACGAATATCGAGGCATCAGTACTTCCCCTCTCAAGGCCTCTACCTGATACCTCCCCATTATCGGCGGGCATAGTGCCGGTGTTGGTTGTATAATAACTGAAGAGGTGGTGAGCCAACTGACAGGAGTTCATGCCGTGACTAGCCTTGTACAGATTAGTCTTGTTTACTGATACCGGTCAGCTCATATATCTATTGATTTCTTCCTCCTCGTCAATGTCAGCCCCACAGGCTGTCTTGGACTGTTCCCTTGCAAGCACCACCGACTGCTCCCCTGCTGAGAGCCCCAGGACCTCCTCCACGAAAGTGGAAGAGAACATGAGACTCCTAGTAGGATGTAAATCGTCTAAAGTCGGTTTCCACTGTTTTCTATCGAGGTTCACATTCGCGACAGGAGTTTTGTGATACCTTGTGGTGATGGCAGTCGGCACATCAGATGGCTAGGTAAGGTCACCGTAGTCGCTTAGGAGAAGACCTCCATCTCAGCTAATATGGGAATAGCACGTTACTGCCCAGTTTACAGCAAGCGGGGTTCAACGATCCGTCTGGGCACTCCTGCAGGTGAGTCGTATTCGGTGTTGGAGTAGGAATACATGTTCGCTTTCCTCACCTGAGCTCGGGAGTTCCCAAAGCTAATGATTATACAAGTTTATATACGAACTCGGGTAGAAGTGTACAGAAACCAATGAAAATTTCCTCAATTTGTCCCAAAATTTTCGCAAATTTAGCCTATACATGTAGTTGACCATGTGCATGTTTCCCCCCGTATTAATGGAGGGTGGCTCCATTGCTCTATGGTAGGGGTTCGCTTCGAAAACGGCGCGCATTTGGATATGCACGCGAAGATTCGCGAGCAGCTGAAAAACGACGACGAAGTTTGGGTGGAATTAGAGGGTAATTGTTGACGATTGTTTTATCATCATCGAATGGCGTCATTTCAGAGGATAAGATGGACGCTGACCGTCCCGACATCCGCATCTTGCGTAGAGGCCCCTGTTGCCAAAGTCGGCCCTAGCTCGTCGCTTGCCCCATTGGGTCTCAAAACGCCCTAGAGGCTCGCAGCCTCGGGTGTGATCAAACGTATTGCTGTGATCTCGACTTTGGTATTCTTGCATCATCATGAACCTTCCCTACTTCCACGACTGTATCTCCTTCCCCTCTACCATTGATACCATTGACGGCTTCAATTTACCCCAAGTCTGCGGTCTCTGTCGCTGGTCTCGGCCGTTGGTTTTATGATGCATCGCACAGAAAAGCCGCGCTCGTACCACATCGATGAGGCCCCCTCCCACCCTGATCGCGTGACATGATAAAGAGTGAGCTTAGGAAAGTGGCGTGGTCCGATGGTTAATTCATCATTTGGTTTTCCCTGGCGCCGGGGGGAAGTGAGTGCTGGTTTGCCATGGTTGGTCGGTCTTCCCTTTGGCTCCTATGTGGGACTATGTTGTTCGTGTAGTGATGACAGTCGATGGTTCGTGTTGGGTTTGGTAGGAGTGTTATTCCATGTAGTCTTTGGTGATTTGTTGTGATGGCTTCGCGAGGTCGGGTAAGACTGCCACCAGAGGTTAACAGGATACTCTATGTAGGCCTAAATTGGGCCTATTGTGTATCTTAATGCGTTGAACCTCAGGTGCGCAATCTACCGTATAAGATCAAACCGGATGAGCTCTATGACGTTTTCGGCAAGTTCGGATCGATTCGGCAAATACGCAAGGGGAACGCTCCTGGCACTAAGGTAGTATCATTAACTCTAAGGATTGATTTTCGAACGGTCGTTGTGGTTTCAGGGCACTGCATTTGTGATTTACGATGATATTTACGACGCTAAAAACGCAGTAGATCACTTAAGCGGCTTTAACGTGGCAGGTGAGCGCCGATTTGGTTTTGGAGTGGTAACTATGGTGGTGGTGATGTTAGGACGATATTTGGTTTGCCTTTACTACAGCGCGACTCGTCTGCAGAAGAAGTTGGATGCAGAAGGCCAGAAGGAAGAGATCGAACGACTTAAACGCGAACACAATATTGGATGATATTTTACTATGTTAAAGCAGTGGAGTAATTGTGTTGGATTTTTTCCCAAATTTTTCCGACTTTTCTGTGCAGCAATTTTCCGCCTTTACCCTTATGGCGACAAGCGCCTCCCCGTCTGCTGTTGCCGTTGATGCCGTTGCATCGTGTGACGATTCTTCGTCAATCTCGGCTACGCTGAGCACGTATGATGACTCTGAAGTGGCATCGCTGTTGTCGTCTAGTAGACAGCATTTGGAGGGCATCATAACGAACGACATGCCTACCAGCATCGTTGGTCTGTGCCACCCTTTGCTGGATTTGGTAGCGACAATCGACGACTTTGAGGCCTACGGGTTGGAGCCGTCGACGCAGCGGCTCGCGAAGGGTGGGGAATTGGGGCTCTCGTGTCAGCTCGTCGTGAGGGGGAAAATGTTTGTAACACCCAAGGGACAGGGAATTTCGTGGCGTGCGGTAATTTGGTCTGCTATAACGGGGGCTTGTTGTGGACGGGCTGACACGTAGAGTTAGTTTGAAATTTACGGTATCGTATAATAGTGTGGTTTTTTTCGTCACTATTTGTGGTGTCAGCCCTTGGTCTTTCCAAAGCCCCTCAGTAGTATGTCTGGCTCCGTCCTCGACGAAGAGTCGTCGTCGTCGTCGTTATTCGCGTCGTGTCCCTTGGGTGGTGTTGAGAGCTTCAGCGTTGTATCATACGATCACCCTATATTGGATTTGGTCGCTACTGTTGATGATGCTCATGGTTTCGGTCTTAAAGCGAACACTCAGAGGCTTACGGATGGTATTAGGTGGACGTGCCTCTTTACTGGAATTATGCTCCTTTGCAATTTTGGTTTTTGTTTAGGAAGCGACGAGGATAAGAAGCTGTTCGCGAGAATGTTAGGTGACGGCGAGTTGACCGTACATGTAAGTGGAAATGATACTTAAGAGGAAGTCGGAAATATTTTTGATCGATTTCAGCGTATTGCTGGTGGGCAGGCGATGAACTCTTTGAGAGGCGTCAAGTGGTGGTTCGACCGCCACGAAGCTGATCCGGAATACAATGTGAGTATATTTTCATATCGATTACCAGGGCGAGCGCTAGTGTCATTAGGATGTGAGTTTCGCGAACACGTCGGTTCGGATCGTCGGCAGTGTTGGTGATGATGAATATGCAAATGTGTTGAGGGAGGCTTGTGTGGAGGCTGGTCTTGAGACTGACTTCGAGGTGAGCTCCTGCCGTGTGAGGGTGGTGACACGATGGTGGTGACAGGTGTTTCCTGGTGGCCGTACTGGGAAGTGCTGTGCGCTTTTGAAAGACAAAAAACGTAGAATGACTTTAGCAGAAGTGATTAGTGATTTATTATTGGTTTTAGGGACGATGATTACCGATTTGGGGGTGGCGCCAGATTTCCGGGCCGGCCCTGAGCGAGGTGGACACATGAGAGAATACGACACTCTGGGGAGTTGCTCATTTATTAGGGATTCCGACTGATTGCAGAATATTGTATACGACTGCGTTTTACGCTTGTGGGGATGGGTATGCGTGCAGAGAGTGAGTACCATAAATCCGCCATTTCTTGAATACTATACCCCCAGGTACATCCCTAACCATCCACAGATCAAGTCTGGATATACGAAGTTGTTCGCTGGCCTCAGCGCTGCTTGGGCCTGCAAGAACGATGATTTCGTGAGGGCATTTTCCTCATACCACTCCTCGGCCACATCGTTTCGGTCCTTTCAGACGTATATGGCGCGTTATGCTTGTGACGTTGTCTTCGGTAACGAAGTAGAGTTCACTGCGTTCGCTGAGCATCTCGGTGAGTCCAACCTCAGGGGGCCACCTTTGACCTTGGCCGTGTGTTAGGCATTGTGGGGGTGTCTAAAATGAGCCCTAGAGAGATAGCGGAGGCGGTCTCGGCTTTTATGAAGCCGGGCGCTTGGGCAATCATGACTCAAGGTGAATACACGTTATATACTTCCCTTACTGTATATACTATTTTCCACTATTTTATACTATTTTCCACTATTTTCCACTATTTTCCACTATTTTCCACTATTTTATACTATTTTCTACTATTTTCCACTATTTTATACTATTTTCCACTATTTTCCACTATTTTACATTATTTTTCACTATTTGTCACTATTTTCTACTATTTTTCACTATTTTTCACTATTTTCTACTACTTTCACTATTTTCCACTATTTCTCACTATTTTCTATCATTTCTATCGTATATATTGAATATTAAATTCAATTTTCATATTGTGGACAGCACACGTAGTTTTTTACACTCCTCTTGGTAGGTCCTGATCCCGTCGTATGCTGTAGCAATTTGACGGACACTTGCGACGCCTTTACTCATACCGTTCGAGACCTGGACCCTCTAGCTATCTCTGACGATATTGGCGCTGGTGACGGCTTTGTGGGGGGTTTTATCGCTGCAATATACGCAAGGTAGGAGGAGGAATTGTTGGTATGTACTTTGTAATAGTAATAGACGTTTTGGCTACGTGTTGGTAGTACTAGTAATATGCATATTTTTAGACGTGTTATGGGGAAAATAAATGGATGCAGAAATCTCATTGTTTGCCTCGTGCCGCGGCAGTGATGATCAGTTGGGGGGGGGCAAGAATGGGATGTTGCTCTTCCAAAGAATTCACGTTTTGGAAGAATGGCATTTTTACGAGGCGTGAACCAACCTGAGAATCAGAAGATTGGAGTTCTACCCGTTGAAGGGGCGTGAAATACCGTGAAAAATTATATGTGTGTATTATTCGCGGTGATATGCAGTAGTCGTGGAGTACAGTTTCCACTAGTGTTTTTCGTATCACTAGGGTGATGAAATTCTACTGTCTATCCTTGATGGTTTTAATATTGGCCTTTGCCGTGCTACCGACACGAATCAATAGAGTGAATATTATAGACTTTTTAGTCTGGACATCTACACGAGTTTATTGGGTAGAATCGAATGAGATTCTGTGTAAGGTTACTGGCGAGCGATTTCACTCCACGAAGTGTGCCGTCTCCTGTCGAAAGCATAATATCGAATGCAAGGGATGATGATACCAGCTATCTTCTCCCTGGGGACGGTAGGGCTTCATGTTTGGTGAATAGTATTATGAGATTTGTCGAATTGTGCAGATTCTCGATCGGATACATGGTATTGGATAACGAGGCAAATGGTCATGGATGGCGTCGAGGAGGGCATGTGAGGAGTTGCTTTATATCGTCGTGTAATGTGAGTATTATTGGTGTTATGGTAGATACTGTGCTCGACAAGTTATGAAACACACTGGTTGTCAGTACTTCTAAAAGAATCAGTATTGATATCGGTCGTATACAGCGGAGCGTAGCAGCAACAGTACGATGGTGACTCTTAGTAATTCCTATAGTGTCTATTGTCCCTCTCTATGGAGTGCATGTCAGTCTGATGGTGACACCTAAACTGGTAGTTCTCGGTTCGTTTCGGTCTCGTAGCTCCTACAACGTGTAATAATATAACCATTCCCATTGTTGTCGTCTTTCTGCTGCTGCTGCTGCTGCTGCTTCTGAGCTTGTATTAAAGCTGAATGCAAAGTTGACGTATTGGTAGTATTAGTAGTGTAGTAGTTGTCGAGCTCATTATCATCATCATTGTTGTTGTTATTACCGCCGTTAAGTGCGCTGAGTACAAGATGGCAAACGGTCGTAATGAGAGCTATAATGAGACCCCATAGACTAGAGTGGTCATTGATCTTATCACTGTATCATTATTGCGAATATGAGTTGTTTTATATGCTGTGCATGTGAGCAGACTAACACCATGCATGGCTCTTTGCTGGTGTATGCTGAGCTCTCGCGTCATCTATTACTACAACTACTAGGCTCCCGTCATCAACATTATCGTAATTATCCTATCGCTGCTGCTCTCATCGTTATAGCCTCTTCTCTGCATTCTTTTCATTATCTGTATTTCCAAACGTAACCACCACCACTACCACCACTAACAACAACAGCTACTACTGTATGATGATTATGCAAGATCCAAGAGGTTCCGATCCCCAAGTATGCTTGCTGCCATACAGGTATCAACAACATTGGCGACTACGAGGTCTATCAAGTCTTGGTGTATCCTTTCGACATTCACAGCTCGACCCTCATTGGTCGTCTCAGGTGTTTGTTGTCAACTACGCCAACTAAGAATTACGTCTAGGATTTGTTTGATCGTGATGAAGTGTTAGGGTTACTGAGTAACCTCGCAGTCCTCTTCTTCATAGTCCTTTGCTGTGTGTCGCTCATCCTTTGGTACGTATCTCATTCTTTTCGCTACTACCAATATTAACGTCTACTGCTGCTGCCACACTACTGCTTTCTTGTTCGTAATGCAAGGAGTATTTAGTGGTAGAGCCACAGTAGGTGAAGACGTCAAGAAGCTGTGAGTGATGATCACCATAGGAGATCTCGAGGGGGAATTTTGCGCTCAAACGAAAGGATAGTTTTCTGTTGAGTTTATCAATATTTGGTTCACGAGTGTGTCGTTTTATTTGTGTTCAATGGCGAGTCCACGAACAAGTTCGTACCGTAGCAAGCACAGCTTAGGTGAGTTATGGTCTATGGTGAAATCGTGATTGATCATACGCTATTTCAGGAAAGCGCCGGAGTGAGTCGCGGAAAATTTTGCAGAAATATCCGGAGAGAATTCCAGTGATTGTTGAAAGGTCAGAAAGCTTCTTTACACTGAAGAGATTCGAATGATGTTCCTCAGGCATGAGAGGAGTGAGCTACCCGAAATCGAGAAGCAAAAGTTTCTAGTTCCAGGAAACATGCTATGTGGCGAGTTCAAGTACATAGTACATAAGAGTATCTTTAGGCCTGATGTGAAGGCGCAGTCGGAAGAAAATGGTCAAGGTAGGCGGAGACGATCTTCTTCCTTGATGATATCATAGCAATGATTGATACGATACTGAGGATGATATTTCGATCCTTTGACATGCGGAGCTGAGACGCTCTTGTCAGCTACGTTCTCGGTTGAGCCGGACGTATCACAAGGAATGATATTGAATAAGGAAGCATAGTTGAGAGTTTACACACATATGAGCATTATAGCCATAGTCTAAGCGTGAACCGCAGGGGACAGGAACGCAACAGTTGGGACAGATTTCCGCCGCTCTCTTGAACACTGTTGATTATTACGTCATTCAGATGTGCCAATTAAGCATTCTTTCAACGAAACGATTTACATTTTCGTTTGGAAGAATATCGTACCAAAGACCGGTAACCGAAGTTTATTTTCTACTGGCTATGATATAGTCGCTCAGGCGATACGATGAACGGTTTATACGACAAGTTTAAAGATGAGGATGGTTTCCTGTAAGAAAATGTTCAAAATGTTCGCTATTCTCAGCGAATGTGTGTCTGTGTTAGCTATGTTACGTACAGCAGTGAGAACACTCTGGGTGGTTGTTGATATCCACAACCAATTCCGGCTCATTGGTAGGTGATGAGCCAACATGATCTGGAATTGTTTTAATGGCGCATTGCGAGTCTTGAGCTTTTGTACCAATGAAGTGATCCAGTGCAGTGCTTGTGGTTGGCTTGTTCAATAGAGATTCCCTATTAGGGAATGAGCACGTGAATCATGTCGGATTCTTCTCAGCTTTTACGAGGGAATACAGTGTTTAGTTTTCCCCTGGGTGGGAGTCGCCGCGACTCCCGCCGCGGCACTAATATCTGTAAGCCCAGACATCGACGTTTCCCATAGTCACTGAGTATGTTGAACGTCGTCATACATATCCGCGGGGCAACTGAGGCCTCCTTGAAAACATGGAATGAGGAGGTTGGGGTCAGTTATGGTCCCCACGTGTTCTTTCCCCTGTTGCAATCTCGTGCGCCTCACATGGGGGATCGCATACGGCCTCACCTTCCCCCATGGTCGCAAAGGGTATCAGAAGAATGAGATTTGCTATCAGAATCAGAAGAATATTAGCTGACAGCTACTAAGTGTGAGTGTGGAGATCGTTGCCGATTTGTACACTCTAAAACGTCAAGTGTCGGCTGATGACGGTACCAAGAATCAGGGTTCTCTCTCATCCACTCAAGGGTTATTATGTGTGAGTGATAAGGTTGGTGTCCATGGTCCGGTTCTCCGGAATAAACGATGTGTCGGATGATGGCCGATCTCTTTCATTATCTGTGCTATTGGACACTACAGCATTCCCAGGTCGAATAAATTCTAACATAAATTTCTATCCATTCAGCCAGGGAGGAAACGTTCCGACCAGGCAAGCCCCTGGGTGGGACGGGTGGATCGACGACACATTTTCCAGACACCCAACCCATAGTGCTGGACACCAACTCGCTTCGATGAGCACACAGGTGACGTGGTTTGTCCAGGTTTACCGTGCTGATAAAATTGGGAAGTCTCGGTATGGAGACGCCCTATAAAAGCTCGTATGATGGCGTCTTACGTAGCCCTGACAGGTCTGATAGAGAATTATGGGCAACTATCCCGGTCTTGCTGCTCCTGACCACTATGCGTGATTGCATGTATGTGCATAGCTAATCATACATCGCTCCGGAATAAATTGAGACAGGGATCTTCACGAGTTCCCCCGACTCGGTTATCGGTCCTGACCAATCAGCAGCAAGACTAGGGCGTCAGTCTGAATTTTACTTATATGGGTTAACTCGGAGGAATATCGTCATGTGTGATACTGGTTTATGCTCAGCATCCAATTTTCCATTTATGTTGCTCCTTCGTCCCTTGCTGATGTCCTTCCTCGTCCGCGAAGTTGTGTCTGAGGATAGTCCTCATCAACAGCAGAATGTCTCTGAGAAGCCTCTGGTCCGTGTCGGACCTGCCTTGACAGAGGGGGAGCCGTATCCGTTCGTCGGGGAGTACATCTGCAGAAAGGGTTTGATCGGCAGAGTCAAAATCGAGGGGGAAAACATCACATTCTACAGACAGCCGAATGCGACTCTAGTTAAGTCGAGTTACGGGTGTGGCTTCACGGCTCATCCCGAATGGAAAGTATGGTTTCTCAATCTTCAAGACCCGTGTAAGGCTCTTATAAACGACTCCCACGGCTACTACGACTCTACGATGCTCACCGCTACATATGACGTTGTTTCCAAAGGACTCTTGGTTATCCCCAACACGGTCACGAAGATTGTGGAGTGCGAGATTGTTAAGTGAATATTTAGTGGATATCAGCAACTGGGAGTCCGATGCGAAAGTTAATATTTTTATGGGTCTTCTGTTTTTACGTGGTTCGCTGGTCCTGAGTAAAAATTCTGTCCCCGGTTTGTTCTCACCTACTCATCCACCAGCTGATGGTGACATTTTATTATTGCATTGTAGCAGCCTGTTTTGATAGGCTGGCGGTAGAGTCAATGTCTCAATTATCAATCTTATCATTTGTAGTATCGACCGGTATGTAACGTCATACGTGTGTCTTATGATGGTGGTGAGTCACCACTGGTGTCAACTGCCTGAGCTAGGCGCTTACGTTGCGAACTCAGTTTAGTGTACACGAGGATCGATAAGATGTTTAAATATTCACTCTTGAACATAACACTGAAGAGCCTTGCGTCTGTTAAAGAGTGGGGTTCTAAACTCGAGCACTGAAGTGATTGACCGACGAGTAGGATTCGTGCCAAGAAGAATGGAGGAGCGCATCACAGGAAGCGCCAAGATATCTTCCCAGTACACACCGCGCGTGAAACTTGCACAGTGGCGTATGCGGTCAGGATAGTCTTTTCCGTGGTCAATTGTTCATACAAAGGGAGTGGAGTAGTCAACAGCGATTGCAACCCGACATGCAATGGACAGAGACCCTCGTCCCATCAAATGATATGTTCAGACATGAGACATTGCTTATACTCCAGTGTGTTGACTGCCAGGAGTAATCGGAAATGACACTCAAAACTCAAAACGTATGCGTACAAGTGTGCAGACAGTTTCAAGTTGAGAATGGCGCTGATGGTAGTTCTTCGGTTTACTGGGCGGAAGTCGAAGAATCCTCATATCATGATGTTCAACCACTCTCAGATCCAGAACGCGACTCGTTTAAGCGTGGTAAATGCCATAAACAACGAATGCGTAACCCATGATTTCGGACTTTGAACGAGTGAATGGAATAATGACGGGGACATCATTGATGTCACATCATGATGTGACATCAATAAGAAAGTTCTCGAGTGTCCGCGCGAGCCTGTTCTCCACATCGCATGATGGAGGCTGATTGGCCGACATAACCTCACCCAGCTTCTGGATAGAGCGATGCGAAGCGTCATCTAGCTGTAGGGCCTCAAGGGGACTTGCCTGGGATACAGACAACAGACCGGCACGTTCAGATCTGTATGCCGTTGGGACACCGGAGGGCTTCCGTAAATGGAGACGAAGGTAGACGACTGCCACTTCCACTCTAACCCGGTCCAAACTCCCTGATAGTTCATCTCCTTCGATGTTGCCAAACGTTGAGCATGTTTGGGGGCATAGTTGAAGCGTTCGTGATTTGGATAACCGAATGAGCATTTCTCAGCTGGCTGCACGTCAATCAAACTCCTTTGCTGATGGATTAAACCGGGCCTTGTCGCCACACTATGCCTTGTCTCGACTAACGATAGACTCTCCCCTACGGTAATCTGTGTTTGCTGCATTACCACCGTGCTTCCACAGTTTTGCGGTTCCCAGAAATACCTTTACGATCCCCCCTGGTCAGCTCTGGGCCCATGGCTTTCATACATCCTGGCTCCTTGTAAAGGTTACAGTGTTGCATGGCGCTAGGGTGACCGGGAAAGATGCCTTTCCCGCCAGGGCCATGGCTGCATTGATGACGTTGCGTCATAATCACCGATTGCGAATCAGCTTCCAACTTCAACCCCTCTCTTGGAAAAAATGTCGTCTTCGTCCGATTCTTTCGGTTCCCCGAGACCTGAAAATTGTCTACAAGCGTCATCATGCAGACTGTTGTTCCGTCTCTTGCTGGTGTTAGCACTAATCGATGAAGCCGTTGCCAAAATAGATCGCTTCGAAGCCTCGTATGGCTGCCCTCAAACAGATATGATTCAGAGCGTCGATGTCTCACATCAAGGGAATGAAGGGTATATCACATTCATAAGCAGAGTCAACGGTGGCTTGCCTAAGCCCAGCTACAGTTGTACCTACACAGCACGTTTAGATGGTATCTGGTATATGGTCCTCGGGGATGCCTGTAACGATCTTTTCGAGGATTCAGACTACTTCTTCAGGAAAGGTCCGTTCGGTTACGATCTCATGGCCGACTCTATACCTTACGCGCTGTACTTGCCGGTCGGCTTCGGCACGGGCAAGCGTTGTGTCACACAATAGATCATCTTGCAGGACTGATCCCACTCACGGGCATCGCATTTATCTCATGATAGGGTTTCAGCATCACTTCAATTTGACCGCTGGCAAAAATTGTCTTGATTACATTGCACTGATGCGTGCCATATCTTGTTCCGTCTTTTTCAACCATCTGCGGGATACCCGTCCTTATTTTCACTTTGATTGAATCGACAGATCGAGAAGTTCGGCTTGCGTTAGTTGTGAGATTGTTCAGGAGCGACAAGTTTGCCCACTTGGCATTTGGCACTCAATCATAGAGGACCCCTTCTCAAAAGGGGTGTGCCCAATGTGGGACTACATGTTTGGTTCTCTCATGGGAAGCTCATTTACGATACAAAAGTATCATTGACGAGGGCATGAACGTCATGTAATGGCTGAAGGAGTTACTTAGTTACCACGTTATGTTGCTCAAGCTCTAGGTCTAGGCCTAGAGGTAGACCACTTGCCAAGTTAACTTCAACGTTCGAGCGAACGTATTGAAAAGTTTGAAGTACGAATATGCACACGTGCGACAAAAGGTTATTGCTGGAGTGTCGCAGGAAATGTTCATTGTTTGGGGTGAACCTCCCAGGTTCTACCTTCACAGAGTAACGTTAAGTTCCTTCCTTGAACTTGTGGTTTTCAGTTGCCGCCGGCAAGTTGGCGGACGTAGCGACTCTAGTATCCGTCGGGTTGGAAATGTCGGATTCAAACTGTAATCCCCTGATTAATGAAAATACTGAGAGTAGAAGCAGAAACGAGACTAGGGGCACTAGGTGAAATTCAGACTTGCCCTTATTTACTTGTCACTAATCCAAGCACATTATTGCATGCGCCATATAGCTTGGATTAAGGGCATTTGCTTGGATTACGGGATATTGCTTGGGATAAGGAAACGAGCTTGGGCTTAGGTAATTTTCCCCCTAGTCTAGGGCACCAGTCCGAATTTCACCTCTATGGATCAATTTGAAGAAAGTTCTTCATGGGGATGTTGGTCTATGCCTAGTGATGAATACCCCATCTATATAGCTCCTTGCTGGTGTCCTTCCTTGTTAACGGAGTTGGCTCTGAGAACGGTCATCATCAACAGCAGAATGTCTCTGAGAAGCCTCTGGTCCGTGTCGGATCTGCCTTGACAGAGGGGGAGCCGTATCCGTTCGTCGGGGAGTACATCTGCAAAAAGGGTTTGATCGGCTGAGTCAAAGTCGAGGGGCAAAACATCACATTCTACAGTCAGCCGAATGCCACTCTACCTGAGTCTAATCACGGGCGTGGCTTCACGGCTCATCCCGATAGGTATAAAACATCATACGTGTGTCTAACGATGGTGGTGAGTCACCACTGGTGCCGACTGCCTGAGTGAGGCAGTTACGTTGCAAACTCAGTTTAGTGTACATGAGGATCGATAAGAAGCTCAAATAATCAGTCTTGGACATAACACTGAAAAGTATCGCATCTATCGTAGAGTGGCGTTCTAAACTCAAACACTGAAGTGGTTGACCGATGAGTACGAGTCGTGCCAAGAAGAATGGAGGAGCGCATCACAGGGAGCGCCAAGATATCTTTCCAGACTGGGAACCCCCGTGTGGTGCTGTACACAGCGCGTGTGAACCTTGCGGAGTGGCGTATGCAGTCAGGATAGTCTTCTCTGTGGTTGATTGTTCATACAAAGGGAGTATTGTAGTCAGGAATACAAGCGAACAAGATGTATGCACGCGACACTCCAGTGAGTTGAGTCCCAGGAAGAAGCTCAACAATGGAGCTTAGAACGCAGAATTGAAGTTCTTCGATACGCGATAGTTGTGACGTCTCATGTGGGGCTTTCCTTGTCATTTGAATGATAATTCTGTTTGTCTTGTCACAAACGGCGAAGTACAATGTAAATTGTGCCGTGGGATAATACACCACGGTATTTTTTCCTGTCTGTAACGTAAGACAGTACTCGAAGTGTCGATGACAGATACAATGAGGCAACATGGAGTAAACCGCGCCTTGTCCCCATACTCTGCCTGGTCTCAATGGATTTTCCCCAAAGACGGGCTGTTATTGCTGCACCACCACCGTGTTCCCACAGTTTGGCGGCTCCCAGCGATGCACAGAAGATCCCCTCAATCAGCCCTGTGGCTTTCATACATCCCGTCTCCTACTAGGAGCCTCCTGGTAAAGGTTACAGCGTTACATGGCGCAGCGCCATAGCGCCATTTGCTCTAGGGTGACTGGGAAAAAGCTCCACGAACCGTCATAATAACTAATTTGTAAATCAGCTTCTAATTTCAACCCCTCCCTCGGAAAAATGTCGTCTTCGTCCAATTCTTTTGGGGCCCCGAGACGCGAAAAGCGTCTACACGTGTTATCATGCGGGCTGTTGTTTCGTCTTCTGCTGGTTCTGGCCCTCGCCGATGGCGTTTTCGGCAAAGTATATGAGTTCGAAGACACTTATGGCTGTCGTAGAACAAAGATGATCCAACAAGTCGATGTCTCACATCGAGGGCATTATGGATACATCACATTCATAAGCAGAGTCGACGGTGGCTTGCCTAAGCCCAGCTACAGTTGTACCTACACGGCACATTTGCATGGGGTTTGGTACATGAAGCTGGGGAAGGAGTGCAACGATTTATTCGAGGATTCGAAATACTTTTTCAGGAAAGGTGCTGGGTACGATCTCATTGTCAGTAGAGGGCGTTACGCGCTGCGCCTACCCGCCGCCCCCGGGAGCTTAGAAGTTGTTTGTTCAACAAAATAGATTGTCCCACTTGCGGGCATCGCGTTGATCTCAAGGTATGGTTTCATCATCACTTCAATCTAACCACTCGCAAAAAATGTCCTGATCACATTGCATTGGTGTGTACCGTATCTTGTTGCATCTTTGCTTGCCGTCTAGGAGATACTCGTCATTATATCTACTTCGATAAGATCGACGTGTCAAGATGGTTTGCTTGCGTTAGTTAGAGTTTAGCACGCAATTATAGAGGGACCTCTTCTCAAAAGAGATTTGTGCCTTCAATGATCAAGTCCAACTAGTCTTGCGATGTCATACAGAACGCGACTCGGGAAAGTGTGGTAAATGCTATAAATAGCGAATACGTGTCTCATGATTTCGGACTTTGAACCTTCTACGACTGAGGGGAATAATGACGGGGACATCCAGGAAGGAAGTTCTCGAGTACTCGCGCGAACCTGAGAAGCAAAATACGAAGTCAGTTCGGGTGTCGATCACCTACTTCTGTCCTCCGCATCGCATGGTGGAGGCTGATTGGCCGACATGACCTTGTCATACTTTTCGATAGAGCACCGCGGTGCATCATCTAGCTGTAGATTCTGGGGTACAGGCAATAGACCGGCGGGTTCAAATTTACATGCCGTTGGGACTCCGTAAGAAAGCTCCCGAGGATGGAGGTCAACGTAGACAGCTGCCACTTCCTCTTTAACTCGGTCTGAACGCCCTGATAGCTCACCCTTCTCGACGGCGAGGAGAGCATCATCATAGCCATTGAGGAAGGCATATCTCACAAGACGCCTCTCAGCCAGACTAGGCCCGGGTCCTTTCTCTATCATCTCCACATACTCGTCTGGGTCGAACTCCTCATCCTCTATGCCCGCCTTCTCAGCATAGTGAGTATATACCCCTTCCAACACGGCGGCTCGGAGGTTCTCTGTGCTTCTTCGGGCTTCACTCAACCTCACAGTTTCCACTTGAGTAATTCCTCCCTCCGACGTTACAAATGGCATCAAGATTTGCTCTGTATCTCTCGATTCGACTTCATCGTTGAGATGCCCAGTTCTTGCCAGCTCACTCTGCGTGGTGTCCCCCCGATTGAATCCATGCTCCAAAGGAGACCTCAAATCTCCACTGTCATCAACTACTAGTCCTCCATCATCATTATGATCCTCTCCCCGGGTACTGGTATCCCCTTCTTCTGGTAGCACAACGGAGCTCGCCACGGATTCAGCAGCATACGATGAATCTTCAGCGAGG